CTTTGGGTTTAGAGCCCGCCCTTTCTCCCAGGGAAGGGATCTCCATTTTAGAATCTCCCCTGCCTTTTCAGTTTTTAGAGGAAAGACTTCAGACGTGCTGATGGTTAGGCAGTTAGCTCTTGGAAAACCATTGCAAAAACTACATTATAGATAAGTATTAAGCTATATTGTGTTAATATAGATAGTATATTGTGTATTGAGCTAAATTGAGATATCATAGATAGATAAGCTTAATTGAGAAGATTGAGTTATATAGTTATAGAGAGAGAGTCTTCACTGCTTTGTCTCCAGAACTAACCTTAAGTTATAGATAGGGGGGGGGGGGGACTTGCTTTTTTCTAACTACAACGGCTTAGGGTTAGGGTGTAAAGATTCCAGGATCTTATCTGCCATCTGGAGAAAAAGTTACCTCTGTAACTGAAGAAAAGAAAGAATATCTCTGTAGTTTCATCTATTGACTGTTTGTTTGCAACTTCGATGAACTGTGCCAAGTCTTCAAGGACTTTGTATAAATAAATATCCTTTTTTGATGGTTAAAACCAGTAATAGTCTCAGTTGCTGAGTATCTCAAGCTTCTCAAGAAAGACACTTGCAGTTCACTCAGACATAGAGAGAAGCACGTTGCAGTTTTATTTTTTATATCGTCTGGGCGGACGGCACATGAGGCACCTAATTTTACCACAAAAAACTGGGAAAATGTATTGAGTATAAGCCGAGGGTGGGAAATGCAGCAGCTACTAGTAAATTTCAAAATAAAAATGGATACCAATAAAATTATATTAATTTAGGCATTACTAGGTTAAATATTTTTGAATATTTACATAAAACTGTAATTCAAGATAAAACTATCCAACTCTGATTAAACCATTATTCTAATCTTCTTCAATGTAAATATGCTTACGTGTCCTCCAATAATAATAATTAGAGTAAAATAATAATAATAGAGTAAAATAATAAATGTAACAATAACAATAATAAATAGAGTAAAATAATAAATGTAATAATAATAACAACAATAATAATAAAATAATAAATATAATAATAATAACAACAACAAAATAATAAATAACATTGACTCGAGTATAAGCCGGGGAGACTTTTTCAGCCTAAAAAAAGGACTGAAAAACTAGGCTTATACTCGAGTATATACAGTAGTTAATGATGAAGAGTGTTGGGAGTTGTAGTCCAACAACATCTGGAAAACATATTGTTCTCGACCCTGAGTTAAATGTGTCTCATAATTATCAAATTGTATTTTTTCACATATTATAACTGAATTAAATACAATGAACTGTGTCTTTCCAAATAAAGTTTTTAACTATTTCATAGGAGCACATAGGGGCACTATTTATGCAAAACCACACGAAATGTAGTCATCACACACAAACAGAATCCTGGGACTCCCTTGTTTTATTTTTCCAAGAAACAAAAAATTGAACTGCCTGGGGAGTAAAAACATAAAAAGTAGTGGTCTGCAATGAGATTCTTCGGTGGAAAAAGGGAACCCCTGAATCACTGGATATTTCAATTTCTTTTTCTTTCCTTTCTTCATTCCTCCACCAAAACGATCTTGACAGATTAGAGAGATGGGCCAAAACTAACAAAATGAAGTTCAACATTGACAAATGCAAGATACTCCACTTAGGTAGAAAAACCGAAATGCAAAGATACAGAATGGGGGACGTTGCGTAGCTCGAGAGCAGTACGTGTGAAAAAGATCTTGGGGCCCTTGTGGACAACAAGTTAAACATGAGACAACAATGTGATATGGCGGCAAACAAAGCCAATGGAATTTTGGCCTGCATCAATAGGAGTATAGTGTCTAGATCCAGGGAAGTCATGCTACCCCTCTATTCTGCCTTGGTTAGACCACACCTGGAATATTGTATCCAATTCTGGGCACCACAATTCAAGAGAGATATTGACAAGCTGGAATGTGTCCAGAGGAGGGCGACTAAAATGATCAAGGGTCTGGAGAACAAACCCTATGAGGGGTGGCTTAAAGAGCTGGGCATGTTTAGCCTGAAGAAAAGAAGGCTGAGAGGAGACATGATAGCCATGTATAAATATGTAAGAGGAAGTCATAGGGAGGAAGGAGCAAGCTTGTTTTCTGCTTCCCTGGAGACTAGGACACAGAACAATGGCTTCAAACTACAAGAAAGGAGATTCCATCTGAACATGAGGAAGAACTTCCTGACTGTGAGAGCCGTTCAGCAGTGGAACTCTCTGCCAGAGTGTGGTAGAGGCTCCTTCTTTGGAAGCTTTTAAACAGAGGCTGGATGGCCATCTGTTGGGAGTGCTTTGAATGCAATTTTCCTGCTTCTTGACAAGGGGTTGGACTAGATGACCCATGAGGTCTCTTCCAACTCTATGATTCTATGTTATTCCAATGTTGTATCCAATGTGAAGCACAAGGAAGATCAAAGTGAGGATTTTACAAGTGTATGAACCAGGTCACACTGAATGAAACAAACATTGAAGCTATGTGTGTCACCATAATGATTTTATTAATAACAATGAATATAGGCCTTTGTATGCACACGTGTGTGTCACTCTTTGAAACACTTATCAACCAAGAAGCTGAGCATGTGTCTCTCTGGCGCTGTCTGCTGGAGAGTCAAATCCTCCTGAAATGCCACCATTTCTCTTTGGATTTCACTTTTTCCCGCTCAGATGTTGTTCTTGCTTCTGGAATATGACAATACTTCTCCAGGGTCACCAAGGAACTTTGTTATTGCTTCTTCTGGAAGATGCCAGGTGAAATCTCATTGGTGGGTTCAGGCAAGACCTGGATCTGCTGGTTCTGCAAAGCCGCCTCTCTCATCTTGTAGTACATAAACTCATTCTGCTGGAACATGCGCAGCTCCATCTCAGTCTGAATCCTCATGGCCTAATTAGATGGAAACAAAAGACCTGTGAGATGTACAAGCCAAGATCGCCTCCTGCTTATGACCTTTGGGGACTCAAACTGCAATTGTTTTCAATCTGTCATACCACTGGCTCTGCATCCTATGTATAGTTAGTTATGCACAGAAGCAAAGAATTTTATAGAACACTAGCTGTCCCCTGCCACGCGTTGCTGTGGCGCTGTCTGGTTATCTGGAAAATAAAGTAATGAGAAAGTGTTGGTTTCTAATATATGTAATTTATTTATGCTTGTGAGTAAGCAGTATTTCTTCTTGTTTCTTTGTCATTGTTGATGTGGTTTGCTTACTCTGAAACATGCAACATATAATTGTCCTTCTTTAGGGGTCCCTTTCAAATCTATGATACTATATCTCTGTGTGTATGTGAATAATATATCTATCTATATCTATGGCTGGATGGCTCTTTGTCAGGAGGGCTTTGATGACGTTTTCTTGCCCTGGTGAAGGGAGTTGGACTGGATGGCTTTAAGTATTTTCTGTTGGTCATGGGGGTTCTGTGTGGGGAATTTGCCCCAATTCTCTCGTTGGTGCGGTTCAGAATGCTCTTTGATTGTAGGTGAACTAAAATCCCAGTAACTACAACTCCCAAATGTCAAGGTCTATTTTCCCCAAACTCCATCTGTATTCATATTTGGACATATGGAATATTCGTGCCAAGTTTGGTCCAGATCCATCATTGTTTAAGTCCACAATGGATGTAGGTGAACAACAACTCTCAAACTCAAGGTCAGTGCCCACCAAACCCTTCCAGAGTTTTCTGTTGGTCAAAGGAGTTCTGTGTTCAATTCCCTCATTGATGGAGTTCAGAATGCTCTTTGATTGCAGGTGAACTATAAATCCCAGCAACTACAACTCCCAAATGACAAAACCATAATTTTTTTGAGTGATGGCCACTCCTTGTGTTGTGAGATGTTTTGTTGCCAAATTTGGTGTGATTTCATTCATTGGTTCTTTGTTTTTAAGGTACTCATTATGCACAGAGAATTTTTATATATATAGACTAGCTCAGTCCCTTACTGTGGGAAATCTTATTCTGCCATCTCGCTGACTTCTGAGATATCGTCAATCTTGGGCCACACCAAATTTTTGGTTACTTTTTTATTGTTACAACTCTCACATAGATGCACTATAATATTTCCAGGCTGCGATCCTTTAATTTTCTGAAATTGAATCTTGACAAGACAGAGGTCCTCCAGGTCAGTCACTCAGCAGAACGTGGTATAGGGTGGCAACCTGTGTTTGATGGGGTTACATTCCCCCTGCAGATACAGGTCTGCAGTTTGGGGGTCCTCCTGGACTCCGTGCTGACGCTTGATGCTCAGGTGTCGGCGGTGGCCAGGAGGGTCTTTGCACAGTTAAAACTTGTGCGCCAACTGCGACCATACCTCAAGAAGTCTGACTCGACCATGGCCTTGGTTAACTCAAGATTGAACTACTGTAATGCACTCTATGTAAGGCTGCCCTTGAAGACGGTTCAGAAGCTACAACTGGTGCAAAGGTCGGCGGCCAGATTGTTAACCGAAGCAAGTTACAGGGAGTGGTCAGCCCTCCTGTTTAAACAGCTCCACTGGCTGCCAATAAGTTTCCGGTCCCAATTCAAGGTGCAGGTTATTATAAAGCTTATAAAGCTCTAAACCAGTGGTTCTCAACCTTCCTAATGCCACGACCCCTTAATACGCTTCCTCGTGTTATGGTGACCCCCAACCATAAAATTAGTTTCATTGCTACTTCATAACTGTCATTTTGCTGCTGTTATGAATAGTAATGTAAATATCTGATATGCAGGATGTATTTTCATACACTGCACCAAATTTGGCACAAAAACCCAATACACCCAAATTTGAATACTGGTGGGATGTGGGGAGGGTATTGATTTTGTCCTGTGGGAGTTGTAATTGCTGGTATTTATAGTTCACCTACAATCAAAGAGCATTCTGAACTCCACTAACGATGGAATTGAATCAAACTTGGCACGCAGAACTCCCATGGCCAACAGAAAATACTGGAAGGGTTTGGTGGGCATTGACCTTGAGTTTTGGGAGTTGTAGTTCACCTACATCCACAGAGCACTGTGGACTCAAACAATGATGGATCTGGACCAAACTTGGTGCAAAAAATTGAGTTTGTCATTTGGGAGTTGTAGTTGCTGGGATTTATAATTCACTTACAATCAAAGAGCATTCTGAACTCTACCAACGATTGAATTGAACCAAACTTCCCACACAGAACTTCCATGACCAACAGAAAATACTATGTTTTCTGGTGGTCTTTGGTGACCCCTCTGACACCCTCTCGTGACCCCTCCAGGGGTCCTGACCCCAGGTTGAAAAACACTGCTCTAAACAGTTCAGGACCTGCCTATCTGTGCGACCACCTCCTCCCTTATGAGCCCACATGATCCTTGAGATCATCCGGGAATGCTCTTCTCTCGCTCCCGCCCCCGTCTCAGGCATGGCTGGTGGGGATGAGAGAAAGGGCATTCTCGGTGGTGACCCCCCGTCTCTGGAACTCCCTTCCTAGGGAGATTAGGCTGGCACCCTCCCTAGCCACATTCTGCAAGGAATATTAAGACGTGGCTGTTTCATTGTGGTTTCGACTATGACAAACGACCTGTATCATGACCTGAATCATCATTCAATCTGAATTCCTATATTACATTAACCTATTACATATCCAGAACAATTATGGAATTATATTTTATGTCTCTTCCTAAACTAGAAATCCCAAGATTCCATGGAAAGCTGCCATGACAGATAAAGTGGAGTCACATGGCTATAATTCTATTGTGAAAGGGGACTTTAGATTGCTCATGTTGCCTCTTTGGCCCTGAGACACAACGAACAAGAGCTGCTTGCTACAGTCAATGTTCATTCTGAAAAGTGATGTGTATATTATTTACTACATAGAACTGCTGAACAGATGGATTCTTGAAACATGGACAAATTATTCATGCAACCAAGAAAAGTCTGCAGAGACTTTCTCGATCCCTTGGTATCCACCTACCTCCAGATCTTTTGTGATTGGATGTGTTGGGCCATGTGTCACAAGAAGAATAGCATAGGCTTTGCAAATCATCCCATGCCCTGCTTCAATGAGACCAGCATGCCAATGGGTCACTCCTGCTCTCATAAGAGCCATTCCAAGTTGTGCATTGTTGGGATGGTAAAGCTTCCTGCAAAGTAGAAATGTAGAACCAACTTTACACTTGCATACCAGCATTTACACGTTGTTCATATTCTTTTCGGTATTCCCAGCAGAATGTAAGCGATGCTTCAGCAATTTGTCAAGATATTGTTGAAGGCTTTCATGGCTGGAATCACTGGGTTGTTGTAGGTTTTTCAGGCTATATGGCCATGTTCTAGAAACATTCTCTCCTGAAATTTCACCTGCATCTCTGGCAAGCATCCTCAGAGGTTGTGAGGATGCTTGCCATAGATGCAGGTTATTTATTTATCGTGTCAGGAGCAAACCAAAACGTTGTATTGCATTTTTAACAAACAAACGAACAAACAAAGCACAAAGTTTGCAAGCTTGATAGTTGATTAAATGTCCTTTGACCAGTAGTTGGCCACTTGGAGTGCCTCTGGTGTTACTATAAGAAGGTCCTCCATTGTGCATCAGCCAGCACGTCAACGACTTAAATCAAGAAATAGTTTTCTAAGATCTACAGAAACACTCGCTGGAACACCTCAACAAGTGGTGTTTCAAGCACTCAGGCCAGATATTTTGCAACAGTGTGAATCAAATGTTCCCATGTACTGTGGATTATTGAAAATTTAGCATCATATTAAACACCTCAGCAAGCAAGAGTCCAAAAGTGGCAGGCTCAAACCCAGAACCTCAATCAATGGCTGATACCAAATGAGAGACTCCCCCCTGGGCACACAGCAGACTGGACGACTTGGAAGGCGCGAACAGACTGCGCTTTGGTACCATGAGATGCAGAGTCAACCTTAAGAAATGAGGCTACAAAGTGGAATCCACGACATGCGAGTGTGGAGAAGAGAAAACCACAGACCATCTGCTGCAATGCAACCTCAGCCCTGCTACATGCACAACAGATGCAGGTGAAACATCAGGATAGAATGCTTCTAGAACATGGCCACATAGTCCAAAAAACCTACAACAATCCAGTTTGTCAAGATTTGGAGAAGCATGGCTCACTCCAGCCTTTCCTCCATCCATATAGTCCCAGGAACAAATAGAAATGTGCTTTTATCTCCTGCCCTATCCACCCACCGACCCACCCACCCATCCATCCATCCATCCATCCATCCATCCATCCATCCATCCATCTATCTATCTATCTATCTATCTATCTATCTATCTATCTATCATTCCACCCACCGTTCCAAGTCTGGAGACACCACAGTGAAAAGAAATGTCAGGACCAAAACAGATCCAGGTCTCTCTGAATTGAACAGGGTTTGTGTGTAATGCATGTATGCCCCTTTCTTCTGCCATGAAAGTCAAATGAAGTGTTCCCAGACACACCTATCTCACAGACAGCTACTTAGTTTCACCAACAAAGCCACAACATCTTGTGCCTTTAGATCAGGGGTCCTCAAACTTTTTAAACAGAGAGCCAGGTTACAGTCCCTCAAACTGTAGGAGGACCAGATTATAATTGGGGAAAAAAACATGAATGAATTCCTATGCACATGCACATATCTTATTTGTAGTGCAAAAAAACACTTACAAACAATAAATAATTAAAATGAAGAACAATTTTAACAAATATAAATTTGTGGGTTGTTGTAGGTTTTTCCGGGCTATATGGCCATGTTCTGGAGGCATTCTCTCCTGACGTTTCGCCTGCATCTATGGCAAGCATCCTCAGAGGTAGTGAGGATCCTCACTACCTCTGAGGATGCTTGCCATAGATGCAGGCGAAACATCAGGAGAGAATGCCTCTAGACCATGGCCATATAGCCCGAAAAAACCTACAACAACCCAGTGATTCTGGCCATGAAAGCCTTCGACAATAAATATAAATTTATTAGTCTTTCAGTGGAAGTGTGGGCCTGCTTTTGGCTGATGAGATAGGATTGTTGTTGTTGTTGTGTGCTCTCAAGTCATTTCAGACGTAGGTTTACCCTGAGTGAGGGCCGGGTAAATGACCTTGGAGGGCCGCATCCGGTCCCTGGGCCTTAGTTTGAGGACCCCTGCTTTAGATGCTACCTTGGGAAGCAAGATGTTAAATGAAAAATGAGTACAGATAGGCATGTGCCCCCCCCCCCCAACCCAAGGAATCTGAACACTTCAGCATGAATGTAACAGGAATGGGGCTACCAAGAGAGACAGACTTCATCCTCAATGTCTCAGTGTCTATATCAACATGCATGAAGTTAGGGTGCAATTGGCAGAAGATTATCTATTTCCCAATCCAGACTCCGAAGCAAAATTATTGGAGCAACATTTTGGGTGCCCCTAAATGGACGCCATTATTGTTTCCCATGTAAATTGGAAGAATATAAAAACACAAACATTCTTATCCAATAATGGATATTTTTGTTATATATTAAAAATAAGAGTTGCTAGAGATATTACTAAACAAGAAAAAGAATCTTGGTCCCCTCCAGATCTTTTTGGATCACAACTTAAGTCTCAAATCAAAGTTTATGGGAATCATGTTTCAAAACATCTGGAGCAGTGGTTCTCAACCTGGGGTCCCCAGATGTTTTTGGCCTACAATTCCCAGAAATCCTAACAGCTGGTAAACTGGCTGGGATTTCTGGGAGTTGTAGGCCAAAAACTTCTGGGGACCCAATGTTGAGAAGCACTGATCTGGAGAGACAAGGTTGCTTATTCCTGTTCTGTAGCACAGGACTTAGGTTGCATACAAGTAGCCATCCGCCATTCGTTTTGAGTAGCCAGCTGCCTCATCAACGTGCTGGAGGTAAGAGAGGACTTCTGACAAAATGCTCAGGATCCGGAGCATATAAATGTTGGTATCTCCTAGCACTGGTTCCTGCTTCTCGAGACATGTTCGGCACAGCTTTACAACCTAAGAACAAAACAGATGAAAATCAGAGCTTGACATAATGGTCCATCTCTACAATGCTTAAATGTGACAGCACAAGAAATTGTGGTGCAGCTGGCTGAGTGTCAGCTGCATTAAGATCATTCTGACCAAAAGGTCATGAGTTCGAAGTCAGCCCGGGTTGGAGTGGGTTTCCAACCAATTGTGTAGCCTGTTGTCGACCTTTGCAACCCGAAAGACAGTTGCATCTGTCAAGTAGGAAAATTAGGTACCACCTTAAAGTGTGGGGAGGATAAATTAACTAATTTATGAGGCCATAAAAAAAGACTCCAGCAAGCACTCCAGCAAAAAGCATGCAGGGAATGCGGAAGTACTTTATCAGTGTCGCAGATGGACGATGAAAGCGACAGCTCCCCTGGTGGCCAGAAAAAGTTAAATAGTCTCTGTCTATGTCTGTATATCTTGTATGTCAAAATTGGCATTGAATGTTTGCCATATATGTGTACACTGTAATCCACCCTGAGTCCCCTGCGGGGTGAGAAGGGTGGAATATAAAAGCTGTAAATAAATAAATAATAAATAAATTACAAGGGAAGTGAGGATTGATGAGTGTCCAGCTTTTAGAATCATAAAAGGGCAAAAGGTAAGTAACACCAGAATATCTATATAAATAAAAATGTAATGTTCATTTGTGGGATTAACATAACTCAAAAACCACTGGACAAATTGACACCAAATTTGGACACAATACACCTATCAGGCCAACGACAGACCATCACTCATAAAAACACTGAAAAACACAGCAGAAGCGACTTAAAAAGCCAAATTATAAAAAATGCATTGCAACGTATGCACAAAACCACTATGTGTGTGTGTGTGTGTGCAAACACAAAACACATATACACACACTGGGCCACAGCAATGCATGGCAGGGGACGGCTAGTAAATAATAAAAAGAAAATAATTTATTACAAAAAAAAAAGCCCAGGGTGGTTTGTCATAGAATTAAAAATTGCCGGTATACATTTTATTGTCGCCATTTTCTAGAATCATTGTGATAATAAAACACATGCATTTTATTCAGATCTCCCCAAAAATGGTCTAGGAAAGAGCCAGATATAACAGGGGTTTGTTTTGTTTTTTTTGCCTTGTTTCTCTCTGTACTCTTAATTTTGTTTCACGTTGTTCTATTTTGTAAGTATGTTGTGATTTCCAGTCCATGGAATCAGCAAGGGTAGTTCAAATATAGTGTGGTGCAATGCATTTCAGACAATAGAATCATAGAGTTGGAAGAGACCTCATGGGCCATCCAGTCCAATCCCCGCCAAGAAGCAGAAAAATTGCATTCAAAGCACCCCCAACAGATGGCCATCCAGCCTCTGTTTAAAAGCCTCCAAAGAAGGAGCCTCTACCACACTCTGGGGCAGAGAGTTCCACTGCTGAACAGCTCTCACAGTCTGGAAGTTCTTCCTAATGTTCAGATGGAATCTCCTTTCTTGTAGTTTGAAGCCATTGTTCCACGTCCTAGTCTCCAGGGCAGCAGAATACAAGTTTGCCCCCTCCTCCCTATCATGTCTCCTCCCAGCCTTCTCTTCTTCAGGCTAAACATGGCCAGCTCTTTAAGCTGCTCCTCATAGGGCTTGTTCTCCAGACCCTTGACAGCTGTGAATCATGTTTTAATAATTATACAGCTGTAGAGTAACACTGACATATGGTAGGACTGTGTACCACACAAAACATTGGAAAAGCATAATGACTTACTTCTTTGTATAAGCCTTCAGAACGAGCTTTGTCCATTTTTTCTATTGCTTCTTTGGAGAATTGAATGACATCTTTGACCACATCTGGGGATGGCTAAAAGAGGCAAATAAAAACAATTAATCTGTGCTTCTTTATCCCCATCAGACATCTTAAAAAGCATGGAATTGGTAATCCAAGTTACCATTTTATTACCTTAGCATGAGGGAAAATACGGCAATAACACCAGTGGGGACATTGCCTTTCTCCCATTACAACTCAAAGGTGAGTTTCATCTTGACTTTCCGCAGCCATAGTCCCAGTCCCACTCTTCCTTCCCTAGCATTCTGTTCATTGTTTAAGCACTTCTGAATTACCTGAATCTTTGCTTTAAGGGTATATTTGCATGTTATCTGGAAATACGCATGCTTGGCTTCAAGCATGCATGCATGTACTCTTTCTGATAAATCCAAATACAATGCTCAAATGCCAAGTACACCACGAAAACCTTCTTTCAACCATCACCTTTGAAACTCATGAATGCGAGTCTTATTGAGGCCAAACCCACACAAGGTTTTATTACATCTATATGATATATGTATGCTATAAACTACCATATAAGCCACATTTACATGATGCAACTAATTTTAGTGCAGAAGTATTATTTAAATTGTATGTGTTTAGATAGGAGACCACTGGCTGTCCTGGAAACTTATTTGGGGATCAGAATCATAATTGTCAGTACTCATTTTTCATGTGATTAAGCAATCAGCTTTGTAGTCACCCCTTGAGATTTTAGAAAGCAGGGAATGGTGACTCCAATTTCAGAAGGGCTGTGAATTTCTTCTGATTCTTTGCCTGAAGTCTATCAGAGCTATCCAAGGTGCTGAAAGAAATTACTGTATAGTTTCAACAATCTGTACAGATCCTAAAAAATTACTACCTGGATTGGATAAATTGCACTTCTGGTTTCTGAACCACCAGCTCTCATGGGTCCATGTTGTGCTGTATGAGAAAACCCTTTAAGAACCTCTGACAGCTTCCTTATGGACCAAATAAAATTATAGCAGACTGAAGCATGTATTGCCAGCACAATCTCTGTACTCCAAACTGCACTTTCCAAATTATCCTTCGGATGGCGTGACTTTAATATTGAATGTAATGTCAAGTCCATTTCCCCCAAACTCCACCAGTGTTTACATTTGGGAAAATTGAGTATTCATACCAAGTTTGGTCCAGGTCCATCATTGCTTGAGTCCACAATGCTCTCTGGACGTAGGTGGACTACAACTCCAAAACCCAAGGTCAATGCCCACCAAACTCTTCCAGTTTTTTTCTGTTGATCATGGGAGTTCTGTGTGCCAAGTTTGGTTCAATTCCATCCTTGGTGAAGTTCAGAATGCTCTTTTATTGTAGGTGAACTATAAATCCCAACCCTATGAACCATCAAGGTTATTAAGATCTTCTGGAGGGGCCCTGCTCTCGGTTCCACTGCCTTTGCAATCACGTTTGGTGGGGACGAGGGACAGGGCCTTTTTGGTGGTGGCCCCTCGGCTTTGGAACTCCCTCCCGATGGAGATTAGATCTGCCTCCTCCCTCCTGACGTTTAGAAAGCTGGTAAAAACATGGCTTTGTGATACTGCATTTGCAGAATGATGACTGTGTCAATAGCTGCTGACTTTTCTGGCGGATGGTGATGAATTTGTGATTCTTTTGGACGAACTGATTTTTGCTGTAACCTGTATGAATTGTATAATTGTAGTTTAATGTATTTTATATTGATGATTTATAATGTTTTCTTATTGTGTTGACCCTTATGTGGTTAGCCGACCTGAATCCCTCCTTGGAGGTTGTGAAGACCAGGGTATAAAAACTCTAAATAAATAAATAAATAAACTACAACTCCCAAATGACAAAATCAACACACACACCCCAACCCCACCAGTATTAACATTTGGGCGTATCAGGTATTTGTGCCAAATTTGGTCCAGTGAATGGAAATACATCCTGCATATCAGATATTTACATTACGATTCATAATAGCAACAAAACAATTAAGAAGCAGCAACAAAAATAATTTTATGGTTGGGGGTCACCACAACATGAAAAACTGTATTAAGGGGTCGTGGCATTAGGAAGGTTGAGAACCACTGCTCGACATGTATTTCATTGGAGGCTGCAGCCATAGGTCCCAAATTGTTTATGGGGAAATAATAAAATAAAATCAAAATAAAATCCCTAACTAATATAATAATAATAATAATCCTTTATTTATACCCCGCTAACATCTCCCGAAGGACTCGGTGCAGCTTACAAGAAGCCGAGGCCCAACACATCAATAAAACAACAGCATAACAAATGCAACAATAAATAAACTCATAAACTCATAAAACTAAACAATAAACATTAAAAGACTAGCAGTAAACATTAGACAATAACACCACGACGCATTTAAAACTAAGGCCGGGCCAAATGTAATGATTAAAAATTTAAAAAATGGATAGGTTTTTGGAGATAGGTGCGGTGTGCCGACAATCTTAAATCTCTAGTAAAGTGCATTTGGGACATGATGCTTGGAGTTTCCTATTCTGGGAAGGCACACTGGAACAACCACGTCTTCAAGTTCCTCCTGAAGACCGCCAACGTTGGAGCTTGTCTGATGTCCTTGGGGAGAGAGTTCCAGAGTCGGGGGGCCACCACAGAGAAGGCCCTGTCCCTCGTCCCCACCAATCGCACTTGCGACGCAGGTGGGATAGTGAGCAGGGCCTCTCCAGATGATCGGAGAGATCGTGTGGGTTTGTATACGGAGATGCGGTCACGCAGGTAGGTGGGTCCCAAACCGTTTAGGGCTTTATAGGTAAGCACTTGCACCTTGAATTGGAACCGGAAAATGAACGGCAGCCAATGGAGCTCCTTAAACAGGAGGGTTGACCTCTCCCTGTAAGGAGCACCAGTTAAGATATACACCATTGGTAATTTCAGAAATATACATGTTGCCTTCAAGCCAAACACAAACCTTGTCTTCCCCTTCTTTCACTGCCAACATCAGGTCATCTTTGATTCCTTTCTGACAGTGTTCACAGGTGCAATCAAAATAATATTGCTTTTTCAACTGCTGCCTTCTGTCTTCACACACATTGAGGAAATCCACATAAGAAACTGTCAGCTCTTCGCCTACAGAGATTTTTCCCAATGCACGCAGCTCTATCCTGGAAAAAGGACAACAATAATGGAAAACATAATCAAAATAGTGTGTGCAAGCACACGCACACACACTTGCCACACATACACACCATGCCATGCCACTCATCTACAATAATGCATTTTGCAAGATCTGCAAGCTGATCATTTAGAAGATTATTGCATGTTGCTGATAGCACTGGTTTGAGACTCCCCAGCCATAATTTTCAAAAAAAAAGGAACTCCCATTTTTGACAGCTGAAATCACTTTGAATCTGTGTTCAAAGTGTTTTTAGGGTTTTTTAGTAATCCAAAAGGCGTTCAGCAGTGATCTTGGAGACTGTGATGTGTCATTGTGGGTGTCACTTTGAACTGCTTCCAAAAGGCAGAATAGCGGGGTAGCATGACTTCTCTGCATCTAGACACTATACTTCTATTGATGCAGGCCAAAATCTATTTGGATTTTTTGCCGCCACATCACATTGTTGGCTCATATTTAACTTGTTGTCCACGATGACCCCAAGATTTTTTTCACACGTACTGCTCTTGAGCCACGCATTGTCCCCCATTCTGTATCTTTGCATTTCATTTTTTCTGCCTAAGTGGAGTATCTTGCATTTGTCACTGTTGAACTTCATTTTGTTAGTTTCGGTCCATCTCTCTAATCTGAATTCTGCTCCTGTCTTCTGGAGTATTGGCTATCCCTCCCAATTTGGTGTCATTCTGGCTTCAGAGGTTTGATCCGGCTCTTTATTCATAATGACCCTCAGATAATCTCCACATAACCAAATGCATTTGTGTTTTCAGTCGGTCATTCACTTAACCATGCAAGCTATACACATTCTAGCATACATGTCGAACAGCCAACAGGAAAAAATATAGCCCCACAATTTGTGGTCATCAAAATAAATTGAAATATATATTGTTTAAAAGCAAGACTTAAGTGAAGAAATGTAATGGCTAGAGCTTATTGTACATAGAAAAAGAAAAAATGCATGCACATTAAAGCGATCCAGACTGAATTGGATGAATCATAATTATTCCCAATAGCAAACACTGCATAATTTCAGTTTACAAAATGAGAATAAAAAACTTGTTTTGAATATGAAACTTCCAAGACCATGGTAGGTGGGGAGTCTGAGGAGCTGTAAGTCTCACAAAGCAACTTTGTAAAAACTCTGCATGTGGCACAAGAAAACCATGATTGATTTGTCCAGCTTTTCAAAGCAGTCTTAGAAGGATGAAGCGGATCATCAGAGTAGTTGTGTTTCACGGGGAAGTTTCATTTCTTTCTATTTCACCCAGCTGTATCTTTCCGGTTCTCAATTTCTACTCACAGTGTTCATTTTCACAGTGGGACTAAAGGTGGAGTGTATGTTTTAACTAGGGAATCGGCATCATTTTTCTTTCACTGTCCAAATCCACTTGCCGTCCTTCTCGTCTCCGAGAGACACAGCACTTACTTTCATACTTGGGGAAAACAACTCAATCCGGACTGGGTTGTTGTAGGTTTTTTTCGGGTTATATGGCCATGTTCTAGAGGCATTCTCTCCTGACGTTTCGCCTGCATCCATGGCAAGCATCCTCAGAGGTAGTGAGGTCTGTTGGAACTAGGAAAATGAGTTTATATATGTGTAGAATGACCAGGGTGGGACAAAGAACTCTTGTCTGTTGGAGCTAGGTGTAAATGTTTCAACTGACCACCTTGATTAGCATTTGATGGCCTGGCAGTTGTTTGGTCATAGGGAAGTTGATGAGGAAACACAACGTACAAACTATCTACAGACCCACCAAGAAAATCCAACAAAAGCTACGTCCAGCAAAGGACAAGAGGGATCCTCTCACTTCTGCAGGAGTCTACCGTGTATCATGCAGCTGTGGACAAGTCTACATAGGGACCACCAAACGCAGCATTGCCCAAACATGAATCAAGGAACATGAAAGGCACTGCAGACTACTTCAACCAGAGAAGTCAGCCATAGCAGAGCACCTGATGAACCAACCTGGACACAGCATATTATTTGAGAACACAGAAATGCTGGACCATTCCAACAACCACCATGTCAGACTACACAGAGAAGCCATTGAAATCCACAAGCATGTGGACAATTTCAACAGAAAGGAGGAAACCATGAAAATGAACAAAATCTGGCTACCAGTATTAAAAAAAACTCTAAAATTACAACAGCAAAACAACAGAGAGAAAACAATCAGGGACATCCAATCACCTCTCAACAAAAGATTGCCCCAGGCACTAACAAGACACATCAAACAACCGCCAGGCCATCAAATGCTAATCAAGATGGTCAGTTGAAACATTCACACCTAGCTCCAACAGACAAGAGTTCTTCCCACCCTGGTCATTCCACAGATATATAAACCCATTTTCCTAGTTCCAACAGACCTCACTACCTCTGAGAATGCTTGCCATAGATGCAGGCGAAACGTCAGGAGAAAATGCCTCTAGAACATGGCCATATAGCCCAGAAAAACCTACAACAACCCAGTGATTCTAGCCATGAAAGCCTCCGGCAATACATCAATCTGGACTGTTTGGGGTGTAATGTGTCTTTAGGGGCAAATCAATTTTTTGCCATTAAGTCATTAGATGTATTTGACAACCTTAGCCCCCTGAATAAATATGGGAATGAAGATGAGAATGGTGGTTGTGGTAATGTGGATAATGATTGCCAAGGTTTACTGAAATAGTGTGTACAAGGAGCTTTAGATATAACCAATAGTACATACGTATTATTACTACTATTAATGATAGTTAATTCCCAGAATTAAAATCATTGTTGTGGTGAAGAACATTTAAGATGAGTGCATACAAACATGATGCACACTGCACATTGTAATCAGATGTATCTGTTCCTTCTGCATGTTAGACGGCAATGTGACAGTGCTGAATATTGAAGTGACACTGATTCTCAAGCTGTGATTCCACCCAGCCTCTATTTCTCATGCAGCTTCAATGCTGAATTGACTTAAACATATGAGCAAACCCACCTGGAAGACTTGGGGGAATGTGAAAAACCAAACCTAACTGAGAATCCATCCACACTACATTAAATGTAGCATTTTGATAAAACTTTAGCTGCTATTGCCCCAGCTTATGGAATTCCAAGACTTGTAGTTTGATGAGACACCTAGAATTCTTTATTGTAGGTCAAGCACCGGGACTGTGGCGCAGCTGGCTGGGAGTCAGCTGCATTAAAATCACTACTGACCGAAAGGTCATGAGTTCGAAGCCAGCCCAGATCAGAGTGAGCTCCCGACCAAAATTGTGTAGCTTGTTGTCGACCTTTGCAACCCGAAAGACAGTTGCATCTGTCAAGTAGGAAAATTAAGTACCACTTTGTGGGGAGGCTAAATTAACTGATTTATGAGGCCATAAAAAATCTCCAGGAAGTATGCAAGTATGCAAAGAATGAGGAAGCGACAGCTCCCCTGGTGGCCAGAAGCTGGAAAGTTAGCCTCTGAGTGTCTGTCTATATATTTTGTGTCTATGGCATTGAATGTTTGCCATGTATATGTACATTGTAATCCGCCCTGAGTCCCCTGTGGGGTGAGAAGGGCGGAATATAAATACTGTAAATAAATAAATAAATAAATAAATAAATAAATAAGCCAGGGTATTTGAGTAATTCACCAAGCTACAAATCCCATCATTCCACAGGAAGAAATTAAAGTGGAATCACAGTGTTATAGTTGTTCAGTCTAGTGTAAATGCATATATCTATATTTACTCATTTCAGAAAAGGAAAAACATATCAGCTCCTCTGACTTTGGGTGTATCTGCATGCGTCTTGCATTTTTAATATCAAAGACATATAACTAAAAAATACAAAAACTGTTTTGATAGGAAATAATCATACTCTTTTTTAAAAAAAAAAATCCGTAACTTTGGCTGGATTACACACATGGAATTTATACCCGAGTTTTTAATTAGCTTTTCTTTTCATCATTACGTGCAGCCCGCCCATTGTCATTGTGATTGTGCTTATTGTAATTTTATATTGTTATGCATTCACAGGTTTTATGTAATTATGATGTTGTTGTTTATTGTCTGCATTTTCGGTTTGCGTTTTCGGTTTTACTCTGCTGTATTTGTTGTTTGGGCTTGGCCTCATGTAAGCCACCCCGAGTCCCCATCGGGGAGATGGTGGTGGGGTATAAATAAGGATTATTATTGGGTTGTTGTAGGTTTTTTCGGGCTGTATGGCCGTGGTCTAGAGTTATTCTTTCCTGACGTTTCACCTGCACTTTGGCAAGCATCCTCAGCGGTAGTGAGGTCTGTTGAAACTAGGCAAAAGGGTTTATATATCTGTGGAATGACCAGGATGAGACAAAAGACTCTTGTCTGCTGGAGCTAGGTGTGAATGTTTCAACTGACCACCTTGATTAGCATACAATGGCCTGATTGCACCTGGGGCAAACTTTTGTTGAGAGGTAATTAGTAGGGCTGGGCGGTTTCGTTTCGTTAATTCGTAATTCGTTAAAAATTCGTTATTTTTTTTGTTAACGAAGCGATAACGAACCATTCTGGAGCAACTTAAAAAACGAAACGAATTTTTCAATTCGTTTCGTAAATGCTTCGTATTTCGTTATGTATTCGTTTCGTTATTGGTTTGAGGTCGTTTCGTTATTATTTCCGCATGTCTGGGGCAAGTTTTATAGTTGTTTTTTGTTTAATTAGTGAAAAAAAATTATAATATCACACCAACAGTCAACAACAGAGGGAGAGGGAAGCTTCAGAAGTTTTTTAGCGTATTGCGCGATCGCGGCCGCCATTAACGAATCGATTCGTTATTGTTTCGTTATTGTTTTGTAATTTTTTTACCATTTACGAAATTTCGTAAATATCGAACTTTTTTTAAGGAAAATTTCGGAATTCTTTTAAATATCGAAACGCAAAAAACCCCAAAAAACGAATCGATTTTAGAAACAAATTTTTCCGTTGTTACCCAGGCCTAGTAATTAGATGTCCCTGCCTGCTTCCTCTCTGTTGTTGTGCTGTTGCAATTTTAGAGTTTTTAATACTGGTAGCCAGATTTTGTTCATTTTCATGGTTTCCTCCTTTCTGTTGAAATTGTCCACATGCTTGTGGATTTCAATGGCTTCTCTGTGTAGTCTGACATGGTGGTTGTGAGAGTGGTCCAGCATTTCTGTGTTCTCAAATAAAATGCTGTGTCCAGGATTATTATTATTATTATTATTATTATTATTATTATTATTATTATTATTCCTACTCTTTCCCAAGTGCTGTAAGGGGATCTGACAAGGAAACTTTGCTTGGAAGCCATGAATTCAAAAACAGGGACCAGCCTATGGCCTGGAACTAGCTAACGGTAGAACCTCTGATATTGTACTGCTCCAGTTCAACATTTCTAGATTTCATCATTTCGGATTAATAGTTTGAGAACAAACCATTTATTTGTTGTGTCCTTTTAATCATAAATAAATAAATGAATTTTAATCATAAATAAATAAATAAATTTTAATCATGAATAAATAAATAAATTTTGATCATAAATAAATAAATAAATTTTAATCATAAATACATAAATAAATTTTAATCATAAATAAATAAATAAATTTTAATCATAATAAAAAAATTAATTAGTGCCCAAATGCATTTATCGTTTTAATCCATTGTACTCAATGCAGCCAAAATCAGAGTGGGTAGCGTATCAGGCAATCACATATCCACTACTATTCTAAAAGGTATATTGGATTCATTTTGGTTAAACTATTATTATTATTAGAGAATTCCATGCTATGATTTCTGCTGAAAGGAAAAGAGAGAAAGAAAAGGTTGAACAGCAACCATTAAGGAGTGTGGAGAGGCTTGTCAGAGAAGTAAAAGAATGATGGTTAAAATTTTGGGAGAAAAGTGATACAATACAAAATACAAAAATTACAAAATGAAGAACTGGGTTTAGTGGGACTTTTGCTTAAAATAGAGGTGGTAGAAACAGTGAAATGATGCACTAACAAAATTCTCTAAAGCTTGATTATTATTGTCTATAGGATCTTGGTGTCAGTGCAGGATAAGAGGGGGGAACGGTCAACCGGGGAGTATTATGCTTTCAAGACCAACCCACCTCATCTGTGTGTGGAACATTGACCTTACAGCCTCATGACTGAAAGACAAAAACAGACATCTACAGTTTTACAGAAGTACATTTTTAAAGCAAATGGAATCCATAGATTTCGCATCCCAAATGCTAGCACGGAACAGTGAAGCAATGTGCAAAATCAAAAGGGAACAATGAAGGATGGAGAATCATATTGCAAGCTGGAGGCCTAAACAAGAGCATGATTAATTCCCTGCCATTCACTTTTTCATCCACATTTTAAATACCTCAATTTATCTCTCTTTCCACTTTACTTTTTCATCCCCGATGTGCTTCATTTGCTGCAAAACTGCATTCAAAGTTTAAAAGTACCGTATTTTCTGGCATAGAAGATGTTGTGACTCAGCTGGACTCACAGAGTGATGGTGTCCGTGATTTTGATGGGGATGATTTATTATTTATTATTTACTTATTTTATATACATAGAATCATAGAATCAAAGAGTTGGAAGAGACCTCATAGGCCATCCAGTCCAACCCCCTGCCAAGAAGCAGGAATATTGCATTCAAATCACCCCTGACAGATGGCCATCCAGCCTCTGTTTAAAAGCTTCCAAAGAAGGAGCCTCCACCACACTTCGGGGCAGAGAGTTCCACTGCTGAACGGCTCTCACAGTCAGGAAGTTCTTCCTCATGTTCAGATGGAATCTCCTCTCTTGTAGTTTGAAGCCATTGTTCCGCGTCCTAGTCTCCAGGGAAGCAGAAAACAAGCTTGCTCCCTCCTCCCTGTGGCTTCCTCTCACATATTTATACATGGCTATCATATCTCCTCTCATCCTTCCCTTCTTCAAGCTAAACATGCCCAACTCCTTAAACCGCTCCTCATAGGGCTTGTTCTCCAGACCCTTGATCATTTTACAGCTTTCACAGTCATGAATCATAGAATCATAGAATCAAAGAGTTGGAAGAGACCTCATGGGCCATCCAGTCCAACCCCCTGCCAAGAAGCAGGAATATTGCATTCAAATCACCCCTGACAAATGGCCATCCAGCCTCTGTTTAAAAGCTTCCAAAGAAGGAGCCTCCACCACACTCCGGGGCAGAGAGTTCCACTGCTGAATGGCTCTCACAGTCAGGAAGTTCTTCCTCATGTTCAGATGGAATCTCCTCTCTTGTAGTTTGAAGCCATTGTTCCGCTAGTCTCCAGGGAAGCAGCAAACAAGCTTGCTCCCTCCTCCCTGTGGCTTCCTCTCACATATTTATACATGGCTATCATATCTCCTCTCAGCCTTCTCTTCTTCAGGCTAAACATGCCCAGCTCCTTAAGCCGCTCCTCATAGGGCTTGTTCTCCAGACCCTTGATCATTTTAGTTGCCATCCTCTGGACACATTCCAGCTTGTCAATATCTCTCTTGAATTGTGGTGCCCAGAATTGGACACAATATTCCAGATGTGGTCTAACCAAAGTGGAATAGAGGGGTAGCATTACTTCCCTAGATCTAGACACTATGCTCCCCTTGATGCAGGCCAAAATCCCATTGGCTTTTTTTGCCGCCACATCACATTGTTGGCTCATGTTTAACTTGTTGTCCACGAGGACTCCAAGATCTTTTTCACACGTACTGCTCTCGAGCCAGGTGTCCCCCATTTTGTGTCTTTGCATTTCGTTTTTCCTGCCAAAGTGGAGTATCTTGCATTTGTCACTGTTGAACTTCATTTTGTTAGTTTTGGCCCATCTCTCTAATCTGTCAAGATTTGAATCCTGCTCCTGTCCTCTGGAGTATTGGCTATCCCTCCCAATTTGGTGTCGTCTGCAAACTTGATGATCCTGCCTTCTAACCCTTCATCTAAGTCATTAATAAAGATGTCGAACAGGACCGGGCCCAGGACGGAACCCTGCGGCACTCCTTGTCACTTCTTTCCAGGATGAAGAGGAAGCATTGGTGAGCACCCTCTGAGTTCGTCCATTTAACCAATTACAGATCCACCTCACCATAGTTTTGCCTAGCCCACATTGGACTAGTTTCCTTGCCAGAAGGTCATGGGGGACCTTGTCGAAGGCCTTACTGAAATCCAGGTACGCTACATCCACGGCATTTGATTTATTTATTTATTTATTTATTTACTTTGCTTATATACCGCTGTATCTCAAGCCCGAAGGCAACTCACAGCGGTTCACAAACAGTAAAAACAGTAGAAACAGCAGTGGTTCCATACAACATATAACAATTGACTTAACACATTATCCATAAATTACCAATAAGCAATTACAATGCACAATTATTATGAAAAACAACTGTACCCAATCTTCTCATCATCCAAGCGTAGTCCAGGTTCGTCGTCCATTGTTCCATTCCTATATTCCATTACCAGATTGCACTAAATTACTCAAACGCCTGCACAAACATCCAGGTCTTCACCTTTTTGCGGAATACCATTAGAGATGGTGCTAGTCTAATGTCCGTAGGAAGGGCGTTCCACATCCGAGGAGCCACCACCGAGAAGGCCCTATCTCTCGTCCCCGCCAGCCGAGCTTGAGAAGCAGGCGGGATCGAGAGCAGGGTCTCCCCGGAAGATCTCAAAGTCCTGGTGGGTTCATAGGCAGAGATGCGGTCAGATAGGTAGCTTGGGCCGGAACCGTTTAGGGCTTTAAAGGCCAACGCAAGCACTTTGAATTCAGCCCGGTAGCAGATCGGTAGCCAGTGGAGTTGGCGCAACAGGGGGGTTGTATGCTCCCTGCGCTCCGCTCCTGTTAAAATCATGGCTGCCGAGCGTTGGACTAGTTGGAGCTTCCGAGCTGTCTTCAAAGGCAACCCCACGTAGAGAGCGTAGCAGTAGTCTAAACGGGATGTAACCAGAGCGTGGACTACCGTGGCCAAGTCAGACTTCCCAAGGTACGGGCGCAGCTGGCGCACAAGCTTTAGCTGTGCAAATGCTCCCCTGGTCACCGCCGAAACCTGGGGTTCCAGGCTCAGCGATGAGTCCAGGGTCACACCCAAGCTGCAAACCTGCGTCTTCAGGGGGAGTGCGGCCCCATCCAACACAGGCTGTAACCCTATGCCCTGTTCGGCCTTGCGACTGACCAGGAGTACCTCTGTCTTGTCTGGATTCAATTTCAATTTGTTCGCCCTCATCCAGACCGTCACAGCGGCCAAGCACCGGTTCAGGACCTGAACAGCCTCCTTAGTAGCAAGTGGGAAAAGGAGTGACAGAGTTGGACATCATCCGCGTACAGATGACATCGTACCCCGAAACTCCGGATGATCTCCCCCAGCGGCTTCATGTAGATGTTAAACAACATGGGAGACAATATTGAGCCCTGAGGAACCCCACAAGACAATGGTTGTGGGGTTGAACAGGTGTCCCCCAACAACACCTTCTGAGATCGACCCTCCAGGAATGACCGGAGCCACTGCAAAACAGTACCTCCAAGACCTATCCCCGCGAGGCGTCCCAGAAGGATACCGTGGTCGACGGTATCGAAGGCCGCTGAGAGGTCCAGCAGCACCAACAGGGACTCACTCCCCCTGTCGAGCTCCCGGCGCAGATCATCCACTAAGGCGACCAAGGCTGTCTCGGTACCATGTCCCGGCCTAAAGCCAGACTGTGCCGGGTCTAGATAATCCGTGTCTACCAAGAATACCTGGAGTTGTGAGGCCACCACACGTTCCAAGACTTTGCCCAAGAAGGGGAGATTGGAAACTGGCCGATAGTTGTCGAATTGAGTGGGGTCCAGTGATGGTTTTTTCAACAGCGGTTTTATTATAGCTTGTTTTAAGCTTGTTATATACCGGTCTTCTCACCTCCAATGAGGGACTCAGGCCGGTTTACAACAGAGGAATTCATACACAATAGTTTAAAACATCACATCAATAATACACTAATATAAAATATATTAAAATACAATCATAAAATTACATAAGGCCAGGTCGTCAGAATAAAATCACTATTCATCCCCATCCGTCTGTGTGGTCAAGAGTTATTGACTCACTCATCAAATGCCAGATTCCAGAGCCAGGTTTTCACCAACTTTCTAAAGGTCAGGAGGGAAGGGGCAGTTCTAATCTCCAATGGGAGAGAGTTCCAGAGCCGAGGGGCCACCACCGAGAAGGCCCTGTCCCTCGTCCCCACCAGACGCGATTGCGAAGATGGTGGGACCAAGAGCAGGGCCCCTCCAGAAGATCTTAACAACCTTGATGATTCATAGGGGAGAATCCGTTCGGACAGGTAAACTGGGCCGGAGTCGTTTAGGTCAACACCAGCACTTTGAATTGTGCTCGGAAGCTAATTGGCAGCCAGTGGAGCTGGTGCAACAGAGTAGTAGTATGCTCCCTGTACCCCGCTCCTGTTAGTAATCTGGCTGCCGCTCGTTGGACTAATTGCAGCTTCCGGGCAGTCTTCAGAGGCAATCTCACGTAGAGAGCGTTGCAGTAGTCTATACGGGATGTAACCAGAGTGTGAACCACCGTGGCCAAGTCAGACTTCCCAAGGTACGGGCGCAGCTGGCGCACAAGTTTTAATTGTGCAAAAGCTCCCCTGACCACCGCCGAAGACCTGGGGTTCCAGGCTCAGCGATGAGTCCAGGATCACTCCCAAGCTGCGAACCTGCGCCTTCAGGGGGAGTGTAACCCCGTCGAGCACAGGCTGTAACACTATGCCCTGTTCGGCCTTTCGACTGACCAGGAGTACCTCTGTCTTGTCTGGATTTAGTTTCAATCTGCTGGCCCTCATCCAGTCCGTTACATCGGCCAAGCACCGGTTCAGGACTTGAACAGCCTCCTTAGTAGCAGGTGGAAAGGAGTAACAGAGTTGGACATCTTCTGCATACAGATGACACCAAACTCCGAAACTCTGATGGCCCGGAGCCATAGAAACACCTTTATGTTATCCAAAGAGTATTAAACAGACTGTTTGAATGTGCCTCAGTGTCAGAGCAACTTCCCGCTTCAACCAAGAGACTATGGATTTATCTTGCAGCTTTCATACTCATGTTTCAGGACATGGTCATGTTCTCATGGGACTTTGCCTTGCCTATGCCTTCATGGATCTTGTTTGCCTATGTTACCTTGGACTGATCTTTTGAAATATACTTTTGCTTTTTGAACTTTTTATCTTTTAAAACCATAAAGACTACTGCTGGTGTGTTCTTTGGTATCGTAAGCAAGGTAGTTCTACTCTGAGGTGCAACATAAGACTACTTTTTAACCCAAGAAAGTCTTCGCAAAAGTCAGGGGTTGTCTTATACGTGGGAATCGTCTTATACGCGGGAGTAGCCTTATACGTGGGAGTTGTCTTATATGCGGGAGTAGTCTTATACGCCAGGAGTCATCTTATAGAGCAGGTGCTGAAACTTCCAAGCTGGACTGAAGACTCTGTGGTTGCTGCATATGGTGAGGGGAGCTCAAAAATGGCAGTGGCCACGTCCATGCCATATGCAGCGACTGTAAGAAAGCATTAAGGGTGACGCTGTACAAGAATGGTAGAAGAAAATCCATTCAACAGGATTCATGGACTTAATGAGGTCCCGATGGTGAGGTGAAGGGGCGCCTCACCGGGAAGGATGACCGCATCTCTGTATATGAACCCACACGACCCCTTCGATCAACCGGAGAGGCCCTGCTCTCGATCCCACCAGCATCGCAGGTGCGATTGGTGGGAACGAGAGAGAGGGCCTTTTCGGTGGTGGCCCCTCGACTCTGGAACTCACTCCCTAAAGATATCAAACAGGCCCCAACTCTGGCAGTCTTCAGGAGGAGCTTGAAGATGTGGCTGTTCCAGTGTGCCTTCCTGGAATAATGTCCTCCAAAGCACTTTACATTTCTTTAGGTCTGCTCATATGCCCTTCCACAAACACCAGTATCACCTTTCATCCATGTCCCAGCATTATTTCCAATTTTAACTCTACATTTAGCCTTCCCACTGTTTTTAATTGTGTGTTGTCTTATTGATAATGTTGTATATTTTATTGTCTATGTTTTAATTGCTTGTATTGTTGTTATTATTGCTTGTATTGTTGTGTTTGGGCTCGGCCTCATGTAAGCCGCACCGAGTCCCTTGGGGAGATGGTTGCAGGGTACAAATAAAGTGTTTTTGTTATTATTATTATTATTATTATTATTAAGGTGTAAGTGAAGGGCAGAGCAATCTGCAGGCACCCGGGCCCGGGGTATGGAAAAAAGAAATAGAGTGGCTCTGGGCCCAGAAAGACACACCTCTTTCACCTGTCTGGCCCGCCCTTGTATCCTATTACCATACCTCCTCCTCTGCCTCTCAGATCTCGCTCCTGAAGACTGCAGTGAAGTGGTGCAGGTGCGCATGTGCGAGATCTGAGAGGCAGAGAAGGAGGTACAGTAATAGGAAAATTACCATATTGAAATCAAATCTGATGCTTTAAAATGTTTATTTGGTGTGCATTGGAAGAGGGGTAGTCTTATACGGCGAGTATATCACAAACTCCATATTTTAACTGGAAACGTTGGGGGTCGTCTTATACACCCAGTCATCTTATATGCCGGAAAATACAGTAAATTATGGAAGGAGTGGGCTGAGGAATCTTGCCCTTCCCAATAGATGGAGCCAAAAGTAAACTGGATTATTGTAGATTTTTTGGGCTGTATGGCCATGCTTCTAGAACATGGCCATACAGCCCGAAAAACCTACAATAACCCAGTGATTCCTACAATGAAAGCATTTGGCAATACAAAAGTAAACTGTTGCAGCCTCTCCTAGCTTTTCATCTGTGAAATGTTGGCGGGCATGAGTTATGCTTTAAGAGGCTTTGTGCATGCCCACCCCTTTGACCTTATGCTCAGCAATCGCCTGCATCTGTCATGAGACCGAGGATACTATGTACAGTAGCAGATTCTTTAAAAGTCAATCTGGTCCAGTGCCGTATGTCTGTATTTAGAAAGAGCATGGCTCACAACAGTCTCCATCTTGCAAAAGTAAATAGTTTGTGTGACAGGTATCCTGCAGGACCAAACAAAATCATGCTCAAAGTGACCTTCATTGTGTTAGAAATTAACACATAAAGCTTTTGGAGGAAGGGAGGGGGGATAAGACTATGAATGCAAAACCCAATTTGGCGACTTCTATTTGAAGTCAAAGTACCATGTATAAGTCTAGAAATTTGTAGTTCAAAAAATCAACTCCACAAAACTGTATCAACTTTTCCACAGGATAATGTGAATACTGTACATTAACTTATCCAAAAGGGAACCATCCCTTTCTCTGAGTAGAGAGGTGAAAGGCAAGGGTTGAGTTCATCCCAAGAGGACATAAAGGAAGCACTGACCATGGTGCCATGGCATCAGCTTTCCCCTCTCCATAGAATGACCATCATATCAAAATCCATAATGTTGTCCCGCAAACCTCCCCTCAACTTATATATGAAGTGAATTTATACATGAGTATATACAGCAAAGTTTCCTGAATTGATCTGTCAAAATTCAAGATGATTCTGATGGATTGTTGATGCGCCAGATTATTTGGAGAGAAGCCTCCCACAAGGATAGTAAAAACATCAAAACATCTGGGCGCCCCCTGGGCAACGTCCTTGCAGACGGTCAATTCTCTCACACCAGAAGCGACTTGTAGTTTCTCAAGTTGCTTCTGACACGGCAAAAAAAAAAAGCTTTGGAGTTTTTGAATACTTGGCAGAAAAATGGTAGCAGCGGCCAGGGACAGCTGGTACCCTCAGAGAGTATTCGTGTTTTCCCCTCTCCATAGAATGACCATCATATCAAAATCCATAATTTTGTCCCGCAAACCTCCCCTCAACTTATATATGAAGTGAATTTATACATGAGTATATACAGCAAAGTTTCCCGAATTGATCTGTCAAAATTCAAGATGATTCTGATGGATTGTTGATGCACCAGATTATTCACTTTGAGTATAGACTTCAGCAAGATTCCTTGGCGCACAGACAGACAGACGCACATACAAACCACATTAAATAAATGGAAGCTGAGCAAGAGAAGAGCCATGCTATCAGCTAGCTCCCATTTATTTTAATGGGGTATACGAAGGAGAACCTTATGGAAGTTCTGACCTTTGCCATCCTCATGCACATTTTCTTTGGGAAACTATCAGAGAATAATTCTACTATAATACTATAAGCCAAGAGCAAAGCTGACACAAATAACATTAAGTATTCTCTGAAAATGTGTTTCCATGCAACTTTTAAACATTCCTCGATTAAGATTTAGGCAATTTTTCAGCAGTTTACTGAAAACCTTGATTTTTTTTTCCACCGGAGAAAGTTGTCCAATTCAGGAAAGGAAATTTACTTACTTGCCATTGTTGAAGATAACGGTACAGTTGGGCCAACAGTCATGGTTTACCAGGCAAAGGTTGGGAAAGATGCCCACGCCAACTGCTTGCAGACCCCTTTGGTCACTCAGGGTGAAACCATTACAGTTGATCTGTTCCAACAGAATATAAGAGGGAGGGGGATTAGAATAATGGTTTTCTCTCTCCTGCAGCTAAATTTTGTACTCTCAGGAGCAACTACTTCACAAAAAGAAATGTAGGTGTCTTCACAACGTTCCTCCTCTTTAAGTAGTTATCACGGGGCAAACTAGGTTAATCTTGTTAGGCCTTGAATTATTATTATTATTATTATTATTATTATTATTATTATTATTATTATTGGCCACGGTAGTACACGCTCTGGTCACATCCCGCCTTGACTACTGCAACGCTCTCTACGTGGGGCTGCCCTTGAAGACACATGAATAGAGGGTGAAAGAGATCGTCCGGGGAGGCCCTTCTCTTGATCCCGCCTGCCTCACAGGCACGCCTGGCGGGGACTAGGGAAAGGGCCTTCTCGGTGGTGGCCCCCCGGCTGTGGAACACCCTCCCTGTGGACATCAGACTGGCGCCCTCCCTCATGACATTCCGCAAGAGACTAAAGACGTGGTTGTATGTGTTGACTGTCCTGTTCTGTTTTGTTAACTGTTGTGGATTGATGTTGTTGATCCTGTTTGTCGCACGTGTTGCGTTTTAATTGCACTGACACTGTTAATAATTTGTATCATGTAAACCGCATAGAGTCGCCTGTCTGGGCTGAAATATGCGGTATAGAAATAAAGCAAATAAATTGTTTGAGAAGGCGTTTGAGTAAATGCTGCAACAATTGGCAATGACGATTGGAACGGAACATGGATAACGAGATTTGGATTGTGATTCAATGATGAGACGTCGCGAATGATTTAGTGTAATTGTATTATTGATAGTGATGTTGTTTATTGTTGTTTGTGATATTGCTTATGTTGCAAATTGTACCTGTTTTTATATGTTGTACACCGCCGTGAGTCGCCCTAGGGCTGAGAACGGCGGTCTACAAGTGCAGTAAATAAATAAATAAATAAATAAATAATTTGAAACACAACAAAATGAATCCACAGCAGACACTCTGCTGGCTGTTGTATTGGATCACACGTCGGACACTTCCCAAATGTCTAGGACTGTGTGATGTATCAGCGAATAATGCGTGCACATCCCAGTAAGGTGGCCTTCTGCAACTGGCAGATGGTAATTTTGTCATTTTAAGTGATGTATCTGCAAATAATGTGTGCAGATCCCAGTAAAGTGGCAGATGGTAATTTTGTCAGCGCCAATTGTGTTTAAGTGCAGGCCAAGGTCTTTAGGCACTGCACCCAGTGTGCCAATCACCACTGGGACCAACTTTACTGGTTTGTGCCAGAGTCTTTGCAGTTCGATCTTTAAATCCTCATATCGTGTCAGCTTTTCCAGTTGTTTCTCTGCAATCCTGCTGTCACCTGGGATTGCGACATCGACAATCTATACTTTGTTTTTTAACACGATTGTGAGGTCAGGAGTATTGATGCTCCAAAACTCTGTCTGTCTGAATCCAGAAGTCCCAGAGGAGTTTGGCGTGTTCATTCTCTGTAACTTTTTCCGGCTTGTGATCCCACCAGTTCTTTGTTGCAGGCAGATGGTATTTGTGGCACAAGTTCCAATGAATCATCTGAGCAACAGTGTTATGCCTTTGTTTGTAGTCTGTCTGTGTGATCTTCTTGCAGCAGCTGAGGATGTGATCTATTGTTTCATCTGCTTCCTTGCAGAGTCTACATTTGGGATCTGTTGTCGACTTTTCAATTCTGGCATTGGTTTGAATGGCTTGTTCTTGGGCTGCCAGAATCAGGCATTATTATTATTATTATTATTATTATTATTATTATTATTATTATTCTGACACAAAAACACAGTATGTCACAGCAAATGAGAACAATATGCTGGATTTCGTATCACAAAATCACAAGTCGAACACTTCCCAAGCGTCTAGGACTGTGTGATGTATTTTTGAATGATACGTGCAGATCCAAGTAAGGTGGCCTTTTGCAGTTGACAGATCGTGATTTTGTCGATGTTTATTGTTTCCAAATGCCAGCTGAGATCCTTTGGCATGGCACCCAGTGTGCCAATGACCACTGGGAACACCTGTACTGGTTTATGCCAGAGCCTTTGCAGTTCGATTTTGAGGTCCTGATTATGAGTTTTTCCTATTGTTTTTCCTCAATGCGACTGTCACCTGGTATGACGACATCAATAATCCAAACTTTTTTATTTTCCACAATCGTGATGTGTGGTGAATTGTGTTCCAAAACTTTGTCAGTCTGGATTCGAAAGTCCCACAGTATTTTTGAATGTTCATTTTCCACTACCTTTGCAGGCTTACGATCCCACCAATTCTTTACTGCTGGTAGGTGGTACTTGTGACATAAGTTCCAGTGAATCATTTGGGCCACAGAGTTGTGCCTCTGTTTGTAGTCCGTCTGTGCGATTTTCTTGCAACAGCTGAGGATATGATCAATGGTTTCATCAGCTTTCTTGCACAGTCTGCATTTTGGGTCATCAGCTGATTTTTTGATCCTGGCTTTAATTGCATTTGTTCTGATTGCTTGTTCCTGGGCTGCAAGAATCAGGC